GCGCCTCGAACTCAATCTCCTTTGCATCGATTAGGTCCTGAAGCTTATTCTTCAAAGCCCAACAATCATCCGTATTATGCCCCGGGCTGTCAGAGTGATAAGCGCAGCGGGCGTTAGGATTGTACTTTGGGGATGTTGTGTTTGAAATCTTCTGAGCTTCTTTTAGAGTCACCAGATTGGTTGTTAGTAACTGTAGTAATATCTGGGACAAGGTCATGCTGAGACGAGTGAACTGCCTTCGAGGTCTCTCTCCCCTTTGTTGGTTGTGATGCTGAGGAGCACTAGCAGGTTTCGAAATAACAACCACGTTGACAGCTTGGCGGTGCTCAGATCTATTTTGTCTCCTTGAACCGTAGACAGCACTAGATTCTTTCTTGAACGGCTTCTTCTCAGTGCTCGATGAGGCACCCTTCTTTATCTTCCCAGCCTTGATACCAGCTTCAATTCTCTCACCAGTCAAGATAAGGTCTGTAAACTCGGCTAAAGAGTTTCCAATCAAATGGTTGAAGAATGGACCAGATAGGGTCCCCAGAAACATATCAACAAGTTCACAATCAGTTAAAGGTGGTTGCACCCTTCCAGCAAGGTCTCTCCATTTTTTAGCATACTCTTTAAATCCTTCACCTGTCCCTATTGACATACCCTGGAGTTGGGTACGCGTAGGAGCGAGGTCGGAATTATATTGATACTGCTTATAGAACGCAGTAGCCAAATCTTCCCAGTTACGGATATTGGCTCCATCCAGCTGATAGAACCACTCCAGCTGAGTCCCTGAAAGACTGTCCTGAAAGAAATGGATCCACAAATTCTTATCAGTTGTGTAAGGCTGGATCTTCCTTACATACGATCAGAGGTGCAGCTTTGGACAGGAAGCTCCGTCATATTTGGCAAAGGCATGTGCCTTGAATTTATGGGGAATCACCACCCCAGAGGATAAACCTAGGTCTCCAAAGTCCAGCCCAGGCACGTTCTGTATCTCCATAGAGCTCAAGCGGTCCTCCAACTGTTTGTACCTATCCTCAGCAGGAGGATATTGTTCTTCATCATAATCCGTCTCGTTGTCGGAGACTACGGGGCTAGGAACCCTTCTCTCTTGTGGGCTGTCTTTCCCTACAGATAAGGTGGTCAGATCGACCTCACTCTGCAGTCCATTTCCAAACCTGTGTCCAGTGTTGAACAGGACGGTCCTCTTCTTCTTCTTCTTCCTCTCTTTCAGAATCAAAATCTTCAAATCCTGTTGACCCTGGGCTAGGCTCATAACCAACTCTTGGAACTGGGCATTCTGGGCCTGGAGGGCCTTGATAGCTTGCTCAGTGGGAGGTTCAGTAGACATGATGATTGCTGAAATAAACAGCGAAGAAGATAAGTGACCTGTAGAAAGGGTACCTGTTTATGCAATGCATGCGATGAAATGCGTATGATTTATGTTTTCAAAGACAATCAGGATTCAAATTTGTAGACGAGAAAGGAAACACACTTTATTAGATTTAACTTCAGAATTTAAAATGTTCAACAAATTGCCCTTAGGCGTTACAAGAATGGAAATACTGAAAGTAAATAAAACCGTAAAAGAAATCCTCAAAGGTCCATCAATGTTCCCATGGCCTCTTCTTCTCAGTGCGGATATGATCATTCAGGATCCGCTCGTTCTCCAGTTGCTTAGTCAGCTTCTGGATTTTCTGCTCTTGTTCGTTGAACCTTTCCCGATAAGAATCCCGTTCTTCCTGCAGTTGCACCCAAGACCTCTTTAGTGTGCCAACATCAGTGGGCATATGAGGAGGGAGAATAGTTGGAGGAACCCCGTTGAAACAACCGGCTGAAAATCATTAAAATAATGAAGTCGACATCGAACGTATTTTATCCCACAGGAAGGGAAAGGTAAACGTCGAGTAAACCTGAGAAGGGTGAAATCAAGGTCTTGCGACCGAGAGATAAGGGTAAGGGAGTCTGTTATGCGAGGGGAAGGTATTAGCACCCCACACGTCTGTGGTACTCTACGGTATCCACTCTTGTTATCTATCTTATGGGTGTGTTTAATCTATGCTTACTGTTTATTACTGCTAAGGGAAAATGCATGCAAAAGAAAAGAGAGAAGAATGTAGGGAAAATAAAAGTTGTGCTCGTTCGGGCCCTACCCCGATGCCTACGTATCCCTTTTAAGGAATCAGAGCAGCCGTTATGTTTTTGTTTGTATTTTATTTAATGAACAGTATTAATCTCGCCTTCTGCCGCAACTCGACCTTTGGAGATTTACGCGTCAGCACAAAAGTGAATTAACACGCTCTCTTGAAAAGTTTGGAAAGAAATGTGCCTGGACGCACAAAAGTTTGAATTTGTTTGTTTTTGAATGAACGATAGTAATTTCGCCTTCTGCCGCAACTCGACCTTTGGAGATTTACGCGTCAGCACAAAAGTGAATTAATACGCTCTTTTGAAAAGGGTTTGAAAGAAAGACCCGAAGGAAAAAAATATTTTTATGTTTGTTGGTGTTTTTCGCTTGTAGAGAATAACTAGTTAATCTCAAGAGAGAGAGATTTTAACCATGTCTCTACTTATTCATGAAATGATTCTTTGAGACTTGAATCATACCAAAGCTTAGAACAAGAGAATAATAAGGTCGAGAAGAAACCCGCTTATCATCTCTCAAACTTAGCCAAGACATGGTTCTTGTCAGTAAATTTTTATGTATTTTTGAAGTTTGTAAAAAAAGAGAAGTTTTTGTTTTAAATGCATATGCAAAAAAATGGAAGGACAAGTCACAGGGAAACCAGTCTATTTCTAAACCTAATTTTATTATACTTCATACGACCTTTATGTAGAGATAAATGTGAGGTGAAAGTAGAAAGAAAATATACCAAACGAGTACTAGCCCGTGGAGCAAAGCAAAAAAGTAAAGAGCCCCGATGTTCTTGCGAGCTGCTAGCACCAACAAAGAAAAGAGTCAGAACTCCAATATTCAGAATGATTATTGAAGCATCCTCAGTGTGAAAATAAATCACAATTGGCATCTCGAGCGTATCCATATAAAAACCTGCATAAGACTCGAATCTTGACGAGCAAAGTGAATTACCAGTTTCAAGTAATCAAATAATCAGGAATTAATTCTTAAAGGCAAAATAATAATAAGTTCTCCTCTTTCTTTTTTTTTTGATTTAACCATTTGAAATAACCATTAAATAAATGAATAATAACAAAAGGAGAAAAGGAAAAAAATCCAAAACGACGGCGTTTACTGTAAACGGCCCCCTCCAGCTCCTTTACGCAGAAATCCTTTCTTCTACATTCGAAAACAACAATGGCGATGCCGCCATGACTCCATCCCTTCTCCCCTGTTCTGATTCAACTTTCTTGTTCACACCACCTAAAGTCTCTCTCTGAATTCGACTCCTTCGCTTGTATTCGTCAATTTCTCTTCCTCTATCCCGAATCTAACAACGAAACTTAAGCTCTACATTTCTTCCGATCAAGATTACATGGTGGATTTATCATTCGCCGCATTTTACCCTTCGCGGTTATGGTACAGACCAAGCAAAAAAAAGTCGTAAAAAGAAGAAGATTGAGGATTACCTATTGAAGACACGTTGGTAGCGCTTCAGAAATCCAGAGGTGAAGTAATACAATTATTGTCCTTCTTGATCTTGTCTGCTTCGTCTTGATCCCTTCATCACTGTCTTCACTTTTCTTTGGTTTGGGGGTTGCGTGCGTTGGCGATAGGAGAAGAGCGGAAATGATGACAATTGTGAAGATTATCGCAAGTTGAGAAAAATGAACTTTGTATGATGAATAAGAGAGAAGTGAAGCTTTGAGAACCAACTGAAGATCAAACAATGGATAGTGGAGGTGAAGACGGAGTTTAGAGAGGGGAAATTGAAGATGATGGTTTCGGTGATTCTCCATAACAGTATATGGAGAGAGAAAAAATGATCCCCGAGACTGATGAAGAGGAAGGTTTATATAGTTGGTCAGCTGAGAAAAGTTTGTTAGAGATTCCAGAAAGTTTGTTAGAACAGTAGCCTATTACTAGAATGGTTAGAAGTTGGTTAAAATTAGTTATCTGCCTTGTAATTGGTTATAGGAAGAAGTCCTGATCGAGTCGGTTATGAATTCTGTTTTCCTTTGTTAGCAGTTTCTGTTATCACTATTAGAGTTAGTTATAGAATTAGTTAGGGAGTTATAAAATTGTTAGGAGGAAATTGGTGAGCTGTTAATTAATCTTCTGTTTCTCATTTTCTGAGCTTCTGTCCTACAAACAATCTTCCAGCAGCCAGCTGCTTTGATAATGGAACATCCAAAATGGCATTTATAGGGTACCATTCATCAGTTAGTTCAACTTGTACCGTGGCATAGTGTTTCTTGAAATCTTCGGGATCTTTTGAGTTGTTCCATGATGTGAATGGTTGATATAGTCTCATAAACCGCCTACCCCAGTCCCTATGAGCTTCGAAAAGTTTGTCATCATTTCCTTCATCTATGTAATTCATTGCAAGCAGGCGGTTCTGGCCAGCATTTCGAGAGTTGGGATCAATCTTGAGACGTTGTTCATAAGCATTATTTGCTAGAGCAATATCACCATCATCTCTGTAAAGAACTCCTAGGTTATTGTAGGCCTCTGCATATGTCGGATTTGTAATGATAGCTTTCTCAATCATACTTGCCGCGGCGTCCATCTTACTCTGGACAGTGTAGACAACACCAAGGTTATAATATGCTGGAGCATAGTATGGATCTACTTTTAGAGCTTCAAAATATTTTTTGAATTCCCTCCTGAGTGTTTCCTGCAACAACCTGTCTAAGGCGAGAAAAGCAGTTGTGGCCCATTTTTGGCACCTGATGTTTCTCCTTGCTATCGAGACTAGAATCCCACTGGTTGAGTAGATCGGAGGCAATTCTGGTCAATCCACTTTTGGAAGCGGCTTCTCGTGCCACAGGATCTTAATTAAGAATTAAAGCAAGAGTATGAAAAAGAGTAGCCAGCATGATGTAATTTTTAATGCTAGAAACTATACCACATTCTTTGATAGGCCATTAGAAGACAAGATCTTCTCCAACTGGGCCTTTGCAAGTTTTTGTCTGGTCTCGTCATAACGTTTCCATCTTGAGAAGGCTGACACCATTCTTGATGCAACCTGAGGATTTATTTTGTCAAGTTGCAGCACAATATCTCCCATAAACTCATAGCCATATCCATCCTTTGCATGGAAATTCACAGGGAGCCCGCAGAAACCTCCAATGAGAGAGTACACTTTATTGGGATTGTGCAAGTCAAATGTTGGGTGGCTTAACAGTTTCTGCACATTCTCAACATTACCAGGAATGTCAGACACAGCTTGAAGAGCAAACCATTTGTTCACAACCAAGTAATCATTTTGCCACTTCTCATAAAAGTCAGCAAGAACATCATCACGAATTTTAACAGGGTTCTGGGCTATGGATGCCAATGCTGCAAACTGTTCAGTCATATTTGTAGCAGTTTTGTATTCTTGAAGTGCAAGGTCGGTGAATTCTTGATCCTCAAGGGAAGCAAGATAAGTAAGAGAAACATTCTTCAAAGCTCGTCTAGACATGTTTGAATGATCAAACACATACTCTCCTGAGCTCTTATTATTTTCTACAGTGCTAAGGAACTCTGATTTCAGTTCACTAGCAAGCTGCTTTCTGATGAAAGACCGAACAGTATGAACAACATCAGGGTCTACAACTTCCATCAAGTCCATCATTTCTCCCTCGCCAGGCAGAGTTATTGCCTTGGCCACAAATTCTTTGTCCAGACTTGAGTCAGTTAGTATACGCTTGAGCCCACCAACAAAATTGGAATTTAAAACCAATGGCTTATTATTTTGGAAATCATCCACCAAGTTGAGCATCAATTTTCGTGCCAAAATTTGTCCAGCCTCCCATCGGTTGAATTCATCAGAATCATTGGCTAATAGGAAAAACAGGTCGTCCTCAGTAAGATCAGATTGAAGACGAATAGGAGCACTGTATCCCCTTAACAAAGATGGAACAGGCTTCTCAAATATATCAGTGAATACAAACTCTTCTTCTTTCTTAGTGACTCTAAGGACTGTAGTGGATACTGATTGGCCACTGCTTGAAACGGGTTGCAAAGCTCCGTTATGATAAATAGAGGAAAGAGGAATGTCCTTGCCATTTGAATCAAGCAAACCTACTGCAATAGGAATTAACGTGGGTTCCTTAACTGACTGCCCTGGAGTTGGTGGTATCTCTTGACTAATCTTCAAGGAAAATGTATGTCCTTCTGCATTATAAGAAGTATTTACTTTAACAACTGGAGTCCCAGCCTGAGAGTATCATGATAAGAAATTTGCAAAATCTGCATCATTTGCATCCCGCGTGGCAGCATAAAAATCTTCACATGTTACAGCTTGCCCATCATGTCTCTTAAAATATAGATCCATGCCCTTTCGAAACCCTTGATTTCCCAATAAGGTTTTGTACATTCGAACAACTTCAGCCCCCTTTTCATAGACCGTGACTGTGTAGAAATTGTCCATCTTGATGTAAGAGTGTGGTCGCACTGGATGGGCCATGGGACCTTCGTCCTGTGGAAACTGGTAATTCTGAAGTTTTGAAACATCACCAATCCGCTTTACAATACGACTTCCCATGTTAGATGAGAATTCCTTATCACGAAAAATAGTGAGACCTTCCTTCAGACTAAGCTGGAACCAGTCGCGACATGTCACTCTGTTGCCAGTCCAATTATGGAAATACTCGTGGCCAATAACTCCTAATATTGCAGCATAATCTGCATCTGAAGCAGTCTCTGGAGAAGCCAGTACAAGCTTGGAATTGAAAATATTCAAGCTTTTTTTTTCCATGGCCCCCATATTAAAATCTGGCACAACAACAATATTGAAGAGGTCCAGGTCATATTCAAGTCCAAAAACATCTTCGTCCCACTCCATAGCTGCTTTCAGAGAATACATAGCATGAGCCGTCTTAGGCACATCATCTGCAGGTGTCCAGATTCTAAGGGACACCCTCCTACCAGAGCGAGTAGTAAATATGTCATCTCTATAAAAAATCCATGACTTTTCCAAAATAACGGCATTTTGTTGATATTGAAGCTTCAGTTACATGGCCACCAAAATTCATGTGATCTAAAGCAATTGATGCCAAAGTAGAAGCCACTGATTTTGAGGCAGGACTTACATTCACAATATCATCACGTCGGCGAGAAAGTTGCAGCATTATTTTTCTATGTCACGCCTAAGAAGGTTGTGGAGTCTGAGCAGCAATTCTTCTTTCTCCAGCAGCAACGAGTTTCTCTACACGTGCAACAATATGCTTTCCATAAGTGTATTTTTTCAATGCATTCAAATGAACTTTGATTCGCGAAAGAATCAGCTCACGTTGATGGTCGTCACATGTTTCCAGCACCTTTTGGACGACATAATTTGCAAACTGATCTTTCATCATTGCCTGAAGAGGCTCATTTTCATCTGTGGTTCCAAGCATCTCACTGACTAGTATTTGGCATTCTGAAGGACCACTGAAGGTCAAGCATTTCTCCACAACATTGGAGGCAAACTTTTGTTGACTCATTTGAACTATCCTCCCTTCTAATTCCTTTATTATAGTAGAACGCTCGTGAGGCTTCTCATGTTCCAGTACATGCTGAACAACGTAATTGCCATACTGATCCTGAGCTAACATACTAACATAACTTAAAATCCCGTCCATAACTTTCTGCTGTGTTGCAGGATTTTCACAGTGCTCCAGTACTCTTTGTATCACACGACAACCATATGGATGGGTAGAGAGTGTCACAACTTGATCAAAAAATGTTGAAACAATAAAGTCAATTGCATCTTCTGGGACACATTCAATGCACTTCTGAATGACATGATTACCATTCTGATCACGTACACAGCGCATGATATTACCATCAAACTCTTGAACCATCTCTATTTTCTGATCCAGATCAACAACTTCAATGGCCTTCTGGATGACCCGACAACCATACATTTGAAGACTAAGTGTCAGGACATGGCCAAGAAGCTTGTTGGCTAATTCTCTTCTCTGGGGTGCAAGTCCATGCTCAAAAAACTTTTGAACCACATAATTACCAAAGACATCAGTCATCAAAACAAGAGCATGTGGCATGATTTCCTGATAAACCATGTTTTTTTCTTCCGTAGTTGTTGTTTCAAGCTTCTGTTGAATAAATTGGCTCCCACATTGATTCGAACTGAATTCAACAACATGTCCAGCAATTTTAGAGAGCTCAAAACACTTGGCTTTATTGCTCTTGAACTCTTCCAACAGAGAAGAAGCAAAGCTTTCATCCATGTTCCCAGCTAAGTTCCCATTCCAGACCCCAGCTAAGTTCCTCATTCCAGAAGCAAAACGCATGTTTAGATTATTGTCTGATGGGACTTCCAGACGCAACTGGAGAAGCAGAGTTTGTCATCGGATTTCATGGATAATACAATCCAACCCCATATACTGGATTTCCATAATAACCATGGTGATTGGAGTTTGCTGATTTACCACCCAGTGGTACATTGTATTGTGAGCAAAAACTAACGATGATGAGAACAAAAATGGCCTTGATTAACATGAATCTATGGTACCATTCCTTATGCCATGACCTCATACTTTTCAATTCAACCCCACAAGTCCTTTGTTTTGCCAAAAAATACCTTTGTGGGATCCTTAAAGAAGATAAAATTTGAAGCTTAGAAGGATATCCTCTAATCATTCCTCATTAATGAACATCAACAAACTCACACACAAAATGCGAAACCTTAACCCGCTTGTATTAGGTGCACAGTGACGACTTGAGACATGGATAGAATAATGTTCAAAATGTCTTCGAAATGAAACAAAGCATGATCTTCCAATAGACGTAAAGAAATAAACTCAAATCTTCAGACTTTAACAAATAAAACCTTGCAACTTGATTTCGAGATAAGGAGAATAACCTCGTAGCTTGATAAAGAAGAAATCCACAACAACCATTAATCACAACCCTAAACTCACAGTTCAATGTTCCAGAAGAATCAGTCTTGTTTGATAAACACCTCGAACCAAAAGAAAACCCGAGCTTCACAATCAATGATTCTTGAATCATGATTCAACAAAACCTGAATTGGTTAATTGAAGAGTGGATGAATGCCATGTCAAAGTCATTAAGCATGTGGTTTTATCAGAAAATAATAGCCTCGCTGCTTGAGGGAAAGGAAGTCCAAAAAAAAATGAGAATGAACCAAAACCCTAATTCCCCAACTTGCTGATACCAGGGAGATCCTGAATAATCAGGCTCATTTCATACATACACCTTAAATCAGTTGTAAACTTTAGCTCCCTAACTGCTGGTCTTTTGAACCTCAGGCGATCTATTTTTATGAAAAATGCGTGCTATGCAAATGACCCATTGGAATGATGCAGATGAATGCAAAAAGTCTAAGCCAAATAAAAGAGATTAGGAGGGCAAATTTTGGGGTGCAACACCCGTCCTTATCAGCAACTTCAAGAGTAATAGGCTTGACAGCTTCGTATGGCATACCTAACCTCTAGGAACGGATGCGGACCCATCTGAAATATGACTCCATTGGAAGAGAAGTCTTTGATCCCAACTCATGTGGGTCAGATTTGTGAACTCTATCCCAAGCCCTGATGAATCTACGACGCAGCTCATCGCTATCTACCTGAAAATCAAAGACGATATGAGGTATCAACATCTCATGGGGCCCTTCTCTTCTGGCTCTTCCAAACTGACGGAGAGCTAAACATGGGTTATAAGAGATTCCTCCACGGGTTCTGATCAATGGAACATTAGGATACTCTCCATAACGATCAATGACGGCCACCTCATCTAAGCCTCTGAGAGTCCAAATAATGTCATTATCAGTAAGAGACATTATCCTATGAGCCCAGCCCATTCCTTCTTTGTTTTTCAGTACGGACTTAGGGAGGTGCGAAATAAACCACCTCGACAATAAAGGAGCACAACACATCAAAGTCCCCCGCTTTCGGGTGGTACGAGCATAGAGCTGATGAAGGATATCACCCAAGAGAGTGGGTACAGGGTTCCGAGAGATGAAAATCCTTATGGCATTAACATCAACAAATGTGTCAGGATTTGGAAACAATACCATACCATAGATTAAGAGAGCCAGAATGTCCTCGTACGCTTTGAAGTCTAAGTCATTCCAGAAACAATTAGCTTTGCCAACCAGAAACTTAGCCAAAAAGCCCTTAACTCCACTTCTAGTCTCCCAGTTAGCCATTACCTCCTCTTTGGTCAAGTGAAGGGCTGCTGCAATCTCTTCAGACCTGAGAGTCTTTTCCCAACCAGTAAATGGAGTCTGCTCCAAAACAGAGATACTAAGCAACTCAGAGAATTCTTCCAGGGTAGGGACCAGCTGAAAGTCTTGAAAGGTGAAGCAATGATATAACGGATCATAAAACTGGACCAAGATGCTCATCATTTGTTGGTCCCACTTTGAGGTGACTAAACCGAGAAGAGAACCATGCCTCATAATGAAGGAAGTAGTGTCTGGAATCCTGTCAACCAATTCTTTAAGCAAAGCGGGTGGTTGAACAAAGTTGAGTCGGATAGTATTCCTACGCATGGGCATCATGATGTCCTACAAAACAGAGCAAAGATGAAACCTTCTTGTCTTTGAAATGGGTTAGTCCTTATGCAAGATGTATGCAATGTTATGATGTTATGATGTCATGGTAAAGGCACACCACAAGTATTCACAAAAGGCAAACATGGTAAAGGCACCCAAGTCACACAAAAGAGCCCTTAGATTTCAGGCTGGCATGAGGTTTAGGTACTACCCTCTTTCAGTTTCAGTTGGTTAAGACCTGTCCTAAAAATAGTAACCGGGTTCTAGAGGATCTCAATATCACTAACTACCCTCAATTGGTCATAATTCCAGTTTGGCAACCTTTTCTTGCGGCCGGAACCATCGCGAGAGTTTAGTCTCAATGAGCGTAGCATACTGCTACTGTTCTATGGCCAAGTTGGTCAATTTAAGGTTCTAAGGTCAGTTGGTGCGTAACGACTCCTCAGAAGACCCATATTCTCCTCGTTCCAACACAAGGGATATCGGTACAGACCAAGGTGTCACACCAACATAGCTACTGCTTCATCCGTGTCGGTCTACGCCGGACAGATCCCTCACAGTTTATTGCTACTTACCTAAAAAAGGGTACCCTAGATCCGGGTTAGGATCTATAAAACTCTGTTACAAGCCCACAAAATTAAAGCATACAAGGCATACAATTGAAAACATAGTGATATAATCCTAAGGTACACCTCACTTATAAAATAACATCCCCAGCAGAGTCGCCAGTTCTGTGATCGGTGGAAATAGAACTGACTGTTTTTTAATGCTGGTTCGCGTTTGCGTTTTGCAAAATGTCGCGGTAAGCAAGAGTCGCCACCGTCTTTTATTTTATCCAACAAGGAAAGGACAAAAGCATAAAAAAATTCCTTTTCGAGATGTTTCTCGGGTTCGGGAGGTAGATTATAGAAAAGGAAGGTGTTAGCACCCTTTCTATCCGTGGTTATCCACGGGCTCTTAGGTACTTGCTCACTATGTTTTCAAAAAGTTTTGCTTTTTTGTGTTCGTGGGTTTTGAAAAAAAGGTTTTGTTTGAAAACTTCGATTTAACTCTTGTTTATGTCCTCAAGAGTGTATGAAGTGTTTGTTTGAAAACTTTGTTTGAAAAGTGTAAGTGCGAAAAATTTGTTTTGTTTTGAAAGGGCAAGTACCTGAGAACCTCTACCTACTCAAAAGGAATTAAGCTGTGTAAATGTCCTTTAGACAGTGCTATCCCACTATTGAGGAGTAGGTAGCACCGTCATTGGAGTTTTCGGGTCAATTCGATTAAGGGATATGTGGTCACTAAAGCAACGTTAGGACGCCTTAGCGGTAATCCTAATGTCTTAGATCATTTTTTATCCG